CTTATCCTTGCAAATAGAAAGACTATTTTCGCGAGTAAACTTATCATTACGCTAAAGCTCGCCCTCACACCACATAAAAACACATGCACTAATACTCACAAAAACACATACATAAAAGAAACAAAAAAACAACCCACACTTATATGCATAAAACCCCGTTCATAATATATAAAGAATAATGATGTGAACACCGTTTTTGTGCACCCCTCACTTATACCATTTGACGTGATATAATTATAATCATTGAATATTTGATGAATTGTGTGGGACCTATTAATCTAATAGAATATTTTAAGGTAGCGTACAAAAATAGTGTGCGTAACATTGTTATAATAGAAAATAAAGTCACACTTATGCCCGCAGACTAATAATTATATGCACCCACACACATGATACATACTAAAAAAAACATACAAACATACACTAAGACATTATTCCTAAAAAATAATGCAGAAACTAAAAATTAGATTAATAATTTGTAACAATTAAAAATTTCTTGGAACTAGGCTGTTGTCAGAAATCAAAATTGACAAAGTTCTTATTTCTTTTTTTCTTTCCCTTTTGTGTGTGTGTGTATTTTTTTTTTTTTTGGGGGGGGGGGGGGGGTGGCAATGGTGATGTGGTTACGGTTATATAAGTTCAACTTCTTGACCATCCATATCCAACCCCCTCTAATTTGTCTAAATAATTTGATTAATATGATTGAACTATTTACAATACGTAAAAATAAAACAAGTATGCAACCTGCTGACTTGAGGATGGGTTGGTCGGGTAGTGGCTTAAGATTGACACCTCTAAAATTATCAATGAACTTTAGTGTTAAAATGTTTGAAAAATAAGGACAAAATATGAAAACATTCAAAAAAACAAAACACACGCACGGACTTTAATGGAATTTAATGAGATCTTGACTTCGATCCTCTTTAACAAAAAAAAAATATATTTTCTTACTTGAGTATAAAAACCTCCTTCCCTCTTTCGCTTTCTTTTTTTTTTTTTCCAACTCTCTCTCTCTCTCTCTTCTCTATGACTCCTTTCTCTGATTTTTTTTTCTTGGCTAGTGAGTTTCTAGGGGGGGTTGGGTGGTGGATGGTGGTGGTGGGTTTTACAGGGGATTGGGTGGTGGATTTAGGGGGTTGTTGGTGATGGCTTTCGGTGGGGTTGGGTGGTGGGTTTTGGGTAGTTCAACTTGGTGGTGGATTTTCGATATAATATCAAACATATTTTTTATTTTTATTTTTTATAATTTTTTAAATATAAATGACTATCAAACATGTTTTATATTTTTAGTTTTTATCACAGAAAAAATAAATTTTAATTTAATTTTTTATATTAGAAAAATATAAAAACGAAAGCATTACCAAAATGCACCCTTAATTGTCACTTTTACTTTTACCATATGTATCCCTAATGGGGGACTTTCCAAATTTTCATCAAACAGGAGGTCTCATAATCAACTCCCCCAACTTTGTTTTAAGAATCGCCATACATCAAAGAAAATAGTCAATCCAAAACTCAAATACCCTAGTAATTGACAGGAATAAAGAAAGTTAAAAAAGAAAGAAGACTTTTAGTACCCTCCACCAACAACAAATAGTTTTTTTTTTTTTTTTTTTTATGCATTTCAACAACAAATAGTTGAAATGTTGGTATTTGCATACTGTTTTTACCTATGAATTGACCGTTAGATTTCTTTTTTTAGAATCCTTCTCACCGAATACGAGTTGCCACCAATACAACCCCCCTCCCCCCACCAAAAAAAAAAACACAAAACTCTTTTTTTGCATGGGAAAAAAATCTCTAGTACACTCCTTTACGAGGGAGTAAATTTGATTTTTTTTCATTTTTCAATGTATAATATATATCGGCCCAAATTATATTTAAGCCCCTCAACTATGACCCTTCTCTCATATTAGACCCTTAATTATCCTAATTCTCATGTTAGAGTGTAAGACTAGAGAAAAATATAATTTGCCTGTCTCAAAAATGGAGTTGACTACATTATCAAAAAAAAAAATTTCAGTATCATATCTTTATTTACCACATTTATGATTGTTTTTACAACATTTGTGAGTCTTTTTATAATTGTTGTAATACCCAAAAAAATTGTAAAAAATAGTTACCACAAAAAACATTTACAAATGTGATAAATCACTCACAAAAAAAATAATATTTTTTGTACCGAATAAAAGTGATAAAAATAATTATCACAAATGTGGTAAAAATACTCACAACAATGATAAAAATACCCACAAAAATAATAAATTTTTCTGTAATAAAATAACCCACAAAAATTATAAAATCACTAATTAAAATAATAAAAATTAAAAATACGGTACCAAAATTCGGTAATGTAGTGAAGAAATCTCTCAAAAATATACCCCAAAAAATAAATAATATCAAAACATCATTACATCTACCTTATTACCTGTCATTCCTATCTACTAATGATTTAATCACTAACACTGGTCGGCCACTTGCAAAGAAAGGTCTTCGGGTGTATGTCGATATAGATAAGAGATCCTATTTTTTTTGGAAGTAAAATGTTATACTGAACAAATTGTTTATCGAATTTTGTGTCTAAAATCAATACAGGTGGTTCGATTAGTGAGATTTACTAACCCCAAATATATTCAATGTATTAGATTTTGACACGGGTAATATTACATGAATTTAAAGAGCAATATTATATAATTCAAATCTACAACTTAAATTTATATCTTAAATGAAAGGAGATTACTAGATTAATGAGTCTCATTTAAAAAAATTGATGAGATCCACTCATCCAATGATCCTTCTTCGTTTGGGATGCAAATTTGGGTTACATAGTATTTCTCGAATTTAAAAATTAAACTTAAAAAATAGACTTGATAATTACAACCGTTAATTTTACTGTGTGTCCCAACATTTATAAGGACCTATTACATATTCAATGATTGTGATTATCAAATCTATTTTTTAAGTTTACTTTTTAATTTCATATAACATTACTCTTTTGACACATCATTTGAAATATAAGATTTGATACACAATTTTAAGCAAAAAAAAATTATTTTTTTTAATATTAATTTTAAAGCACTACAATTTTTTTTTTTGTGAAACTAAGGGTATTTGAGGGATATAATATTTGTTTATCCCTCAAATTTATTAATTATTAGGATACACGTGGACTCACATATTAATTTCAATTCTCTTTTACTTATTTGTAGTGGTTGGTAATATTTGATGCTTTTAATGTTACTTTTATTGTTATAATTTGTTTAATTAATAAAAACATTTCTGCTATAAATTAAGAGAAAAAAAAATGAGGTCATTGTGTTATTTATGAATAGGATAAAACTATGTGCACCAAATTTATGTACTAAATAATATATAATTATTAGATTAGCAATGAGATCTATTGATCTTACGGATGCAGATGATTTGGTATATAAATTTGGTCACGATGCATCTTTATTAATTTTTATGGAGTGAGATATATTTTAATGTATTTTTTAATAAATTGTGTATCTTGAAATTTAATTAAACCCATTACATATAAGTAGATCTCACTCAAATATTTATTTAACAAACATTTTTTCTTCTAAAAAAACATAAATAAAAATAAAAATAATACAAGTAAGAATAAAAATAATGAAAAAACTTTCTATAAATACCACCTCAATCCAATCCTCTCTTCCAAATCCTAGTTCCCCAACCAATAGAGTAAATCTCTCTCTCCCTTGAAAATTTTCTCTCTCTCTGTAAAACAAGTTGCTACTGGGTGTTCTATTTTCTTTCTGTAAGTTCTATTGCTCTCTCTCCAGTTTTTTGCTTTAGCTTACTATTTTCCTCTGCAAATTGTGATTGAGCTTAAGAAATTTTGCCTGTGTGAGCAGCTCTTGTGAATGGTACTTAACATGAATTCGAAGTGCCTTTATATTCCACATCTGGGTTCAGTTCTTTCTTGGTTGTTCAGTGACTACATAATCAATGTGGCTTCTGCCATGGTCTCTTCTTCAACTCAAGCGATTCAATTCTTTAGAGTTTAGACCACTCCAATACCTAAGTCAATGTAGTATTACTAAAAACTGCTCTGCTCGTTCGATCTTGAAATCTCTGTGAGGATCATTAGATAAATGTTGGAACTGTTCTGAAATGTGCTTTTTCTCATTAACTGTTTAATTTCAATTTTTTTTTTTTTTTGTACTCTCATTTTGCATATGTTTATCATATTTCATGTATTACAGTTGTGGAATGTTGGTACTGTTGTCTCAGTTAAAATATTGTTCTTTATTTGAAGTGGGTAGGTGAAGGCAGAACATATATTTTAATGACTGCAGAAAATATATTCTCTCAAATATTTTCTTTTTAACCCTATGGGGTACACCCAGATGCCGGGCTGAGAGATTCGCGAATACTGTAATCTATTCTAATCTTGGCGTGAAAGACTGGATTGGGAGAAGATTAGTTGAGATGCATGTAAGCTCAGACACCCAACCAAAAAAAATGCTCTTTTTAGTTGGTCCCTTTGGAACATCTGATAAAATTGGAACGATACGAAGAAAATTAGCATGACCCCTCCGCAAGGATGATACCCACAAATCGAGTTCATTCTTTAAAGTGTGATTTTTTCAGATCTTAATTTTCATTCTGTTGTTCATTTACAAATTGGAATTGTTGCTGTCTTACAGTCTGAGATTGGATTGTATTTTTTTGCTGCAACTTTCTATAAATGTTACTGTTTTTCACTTTATGCTTGTTCACTTGTACAGAGTTTTTCAATTTTTGGGTCTTCAATGGAAAAAAGATTGTATTGAGGTGTACATAACATTTGATGGAATCATAATAAATTTTCTAATGTAAAGGTAATCTGGGGATAAGAAATGGAGAGAAGTTCCATATTCTTGATGGGAATTCTGGTCATGTGTTGCGGGGCAGCCATGGCAGAAGAAGAGTATATGAAATATAAAGATCCTAAACAACCAATAAATATTCGAATCAAGGACCTGATGAGCCGGATGACTTTGAAGGAAAAGATCGGCCAAATGACACAGATAGAACGTAGTGTAGCATCAACCGAGGTCATGAAGAAGTATTACATTGGTAAGAACATCATTGTAATTTTCTGTTGAAATTATTAGTGTATATGATGGTAAAAAGGGGTGTCTTATGTTTATCTTGTATGCATCTATGATATTGAGCAGGGAGTGTATTGAGTGGTGGAGGTAGTGTGCCTGCTAAACAGGCTTCTGCTGAGACTTGGGTTGACATGGTGAATGATTTCCAAAAGGGTTCATTATCCAGCCGTCTAGGGATACCAATGATTTATGGTATTGATGCTGTTCATGGTCACAACAATGTGTACAAGGCAACGATTTTTCCTCACAATGTTGGTCTTGGAGCTACAAGGCAAGTATAGGTGCAAATGATACCAATAAGTGTAACAATTGTTTGGTAAATAGTACTGATAGATGTTACTCTCCAATGACTTACCAGATATATTTTCTTTAAATTGAACAGGGACCCTGTACTGGCCAAAAAGATTGGAGCTGCAACTGCCCTTGAAGTTAGAGCAACAGGCATTCCTTATGCTTTTGCACCTTGTATTGCGGTAATAGATTAACTTCAAAGATAATGGCTGTTGAACAAAGAAAGTAGCTTTGCTTAATTTAAGTTCTGACATTTTTTTATTGTGCCAATTCGATTTACAGGTATGTAGAGATCCAAGATGGGGTCGGTGTTATGAAAGCTACAGTGAAGATCACAAGATTGTTCGAGCAATGACTGAGCTCATACCAGGATTGCAGGGAGATGTCCCTTCTAATTCTCGAAAGGGTGTTCCCTTTCTTGCTGGAAAGTAAGTGCTTAAGCAAATCATGCAAATATATATTACTGTAATTTCCCTACCATCTTTCTAGGCAAAACTTGGATGTGCTGATATACTCATTCCTTTGTTAGTAAAGACAATAGCCAGAAACTCCATCAAACATTTAATACTGAAATGCATATTTACAAACAGATGTGGTGGCTACCGTAAGCTTTGAAAACAGCTTATTGTGGTGGCTTTCACACACCGTAAGCTTTGAAAACAGCTTATTGTTATTGTGTGCTATTTCAAATTTATGATGGCATAGCTGAAATGACTAGAGATTATTTAATATCAGCTTCCAGAAGCATTCACTGTCAAAGCCTTGGAAATTTGGTATAAGTTCTGGAATTGGTCCAAAATCATAAGTTGCGTAATGTAACATTAGACTTCACACAGTCTGTGCCTCGTCATTTCCACTATTTTCACTTCCAACGTTGTCCATCCCGGATTTGATCTTATCAGAAATGACAGCCAGCTTTGGCTACCTTTGTTTTGCGACACAGTTTTACTGGTCTGATTTTCTTGGAGTTATTGCAAAGGTGGAAGAAGATTTGTGTAAAAGCTGTCTTCCGGATGAGAGATGAGTTGTGTGGTCAAGCAACTTTTCGGGACTTTTGTGTTTGTTCCATTGGTATGGACCATGCCACCATGGTTTTCCACTTATTATAACAGAGAAAAGCCAAAAAAGAACCAAAAACAAAAAGCAAAAAGTCTAAGATAGGCCCACTTGCAATTCCAAGCTTCAATTTTTGACTTGAATTATTGGGTATTTCAGAATTTTTTCCCTTCTTTCTCCCGTTCAAAACCGTGCATCCACTTTGAATTTTAAAGAGAGGATTCGAAACAGACCACCAGCTACAGTATTTTTGAGTTTTAAAAATGTATATGCATATCACAGAAGCTCCTCCTTTCACCAATGTTATTGCAATTCGGAAACTGTCTGTTTGATGCATTTTACAATAAGGAAGAAACATTATCAAAGTGTTTGCAATTTCTTCAATGGCTCTAATACTCATTTTGTAAATGTACGCTCATGCTAATTAAAATGAACATTATGATACCTTCAGCTAAATCAACTCTTGATTTCCTCAAGTTGTGGTGTTTGTTTCTGAACAGGCAAAAGATTGCAGCATGTGCCAAGCACTATGTAGGTGATGGTGGAACAACTGAAGGCATTAATGAAAACAATACTGTGACAAGCATGCATGGATTGCTCAGCCTCCATATGCCAGCGTACTATGACTCAATTATCAAGGGTGTGGCAACTGTCATGATCTCTTACTCGAGCTGGAATGGGATAAAAATGCATGCTAATCACGGCCTTATCACTGGCTATCTTAAGAACACTCTACATTTCAGAGTAAAACCAATTTCTCAAATATATTCAACTTGGGATTTTTGCGTTTGTTGTAACAAAGAAACAAGAATCAACGTTTGGATCTTTGTGAATTATTTCAGGGTTTTGTCATTTCAGATTGGCAGGGTATTGACAGAATAACTTCTCCACCTCATGCTAACTACACACAATCCATTATGGCTGGTGTTAGTGCTGGCCTTGACATGGTCAGTTCTTAGTTCATTGGCTTTCATACTTGCGGTGTCCAAAGTTTTCACATTTATATCTAATCGATCCCTGTCAATATACAACAATGTAGTCATTTAGTTGTTGGCATGGTGCAGATCATGGTACCATACAACTACACACAATTTATTGATGGCCTAACCTTTCTGGTGAAGAATAAATTCATCCCTATGACCCGAATTGATGATGCAGTGAAAAGGATTTTACGGGTAAAGTTTGTGATGGGTCTGTTTGAGAACCCTCTGGCTGATTATAGCATGGCCAAGTACCTAGGAAGTCAGGTCAGTCCAGTTGTTACTTAAACCATATTCTTTTGGAACGCCTTTCTGAAAGATCAAAACATGATGTGCTCTGCTTGTAACATTCACTTGAACAGGAGCATAGAGAACTGGCAAGGGAAGCAGTGAGAAAATCTCTTGTGCTGCTGAAGAATGGCGAATCTGCAGATAAGCCGGTGCTACCCTTTCCCAAGAAGGCATCAAAAATACTCATTGCTGGAAGTCACGCAGACAATATTGGCAATCAGTGCGGTGGGTGGACAATTGAGTGGCAGGGAATTAGTGGCAACATCACAGTTGGTAAATAGACAATCATCCACTTTCATTATTTTCAAACCACCATTACAGGTCTTGTTCTTCATTTGGTGGAGATAACTCGAGGCTTTTTTCCCATGTGCAGGCACACACAATTCTCACTGCCATAAAAATACAGTTGACCCAAAAACAAAAGTTG